GATGGTATCAGTTTGATTTCAAATTATCTAAGTCTTAAATATATTTATAATTTACCAACATATTTAATATTAAAAATTAATTTGAAATTACTTCAATAATTTAGTACCAATTTAAGATAATTTTTTTCACTCAAGAGTATTCATGGAGACTAGTATCCTATCTTAAATAGGCTTTGTCATTAGATTTATTAATATATTTTATCCAAAGAAATAATTAGTAAAGTCCTCCAATAATTTAGTAAGGTTTACATTGATGTAAATCTCTCAAGAGTTTGGTGAGATTTTATTATAAAATATTTATAAAATGTATTTTTGAGAAAACTAATTAAATCCTCAAATAGTTTGGTAAGATTTAATTTAAGATGCAATCCTCCAATAGTTTAGTAGGATAAAAATTATTTTTCTTTTGGAAATCAATTTATGAAATTCTCTAATAGTTTGATAGATTTCATAAAATTTAAATTCATGAAAAATCCTCTAACAGTTTGGTAGAATTCATAAATTTTACTTGAAAAAAGATTTTTTTTTCATTTATATTTTATTTATATCTTTGTTGTTTTTTTAAAATAAATAATAAAAAGAGTTTTGCAAAATATTTAATAAATTACTTAATAAAAAATAGAAATAAATAAAAAAACCTAAAAATAAAAATCTTAAAATAAAAATGATAAAAATATAAAAAAAAAGTAAAATAAAATGGAAAAAAAAAACTTGTAATCAGGTCAGGATGAAATGTGGATCAGCATGCGAGTTAATGGATCTATGCTCGAATCTGGGGTTTTTAGAATGGTGTTGTCTTGGCATGATATAAAAGTTCAGATTCTTTATTTTTTCCAGAGTAGCCTCAGTCTTTTTTCTCTCTAACCAAAATATTCTCTGTTTTCTCTCTAAAAAACCCAGGCATTGTCACCGAAAATTGGACTTAGTCGTCGATTTCTGAAAAATTAACTGGAATCTTGTCGAAAACTTCCAACCTCACCAAAAAATTCAACTGGTAAATTCAAACATTCAGACAAAAACTCAAATTTTTTCAAAAATTTCCAAAAGTTTCCTGAAACTTAAATTCCAAAATCCTAGAAATCTAAACCTCACACTTAGAAATCCTAATCTTTAATCTCAAACCTTAAACCTAGAAAAAAAAACCAAAACCAAGAATCTCTTCCCCTTAGAAACTTTAAATCGCCAGAAACCCTTAACTCAGAATTTTCAAACCTTTTTCCCTATAAATCCACTCTTTTTATATCCAAAAATTCATTCCTCTTTCTTTGCAATATTGTGTCCAATTTATAACCAATACTCAGTAGAAATTTTATGGTTCGAACAGATCCAATCCAAACTTGAATCCTGAAATTAGATTTTGTCAAACATAAATTAGGCATAAGTTTTGGAAGTTGGTTTGATTGATCCGATTTTGAACTAAAAGCATATTTGATTTCCTTTGACTAGTTGGTTTGATTGGATTTCCTTATTCAATCATAGATCAAGAAGAAAAGGAAAGAACCATAATAATAATAATAATAATAATATACATAAAAATCTACGTTGACCTACATATAGGTCTCTACACTTATTATAAAATAATAATTAACAAAATATGTTTTTCTTTTAATATTCAATTTTGTTAACTGAATTTTTTGGCTTTTATTTTCCAATGAGTTGAAGGAGAATCAATGGGTGGTGAAAATAGTGATGCGATCGCTTCATTACACTTTCGTGGGACTCCAATAGAAGATCTCTATTTGGATTTTACACTTCCAGGCTATCCAGACTACATATTGAAGCCAGGCGATAAAACTGTATATCTTCAACTTTTCATTCTTTTCCCCTACCTCTTTTTTTTGTCAATAGATTATTCTAACATTCTGTTAAATACATCAGGTTGATATCAATAACTTAAAAGAATACATATCATTGGTTGTTGATGCCACTGTCAAGGCTGCAATTATGTGACAAATGGAGGCATTTAGGGCTGGATTCAATCAGGTCAAGTTGCTTTCTTTATTTTGAGTTTTCCTGACTAATCACAAGTTGATGTTCATCATGGATTTCCTTTTTAATTACTTGCATTAAGGAGCTATTTTTGGGATTCATTGCAATGTTAATATATCTATTATATGACAAGCTGGTTTTTAATATTGCATCATTACAGATATTTATTCCCTAAGAGTTGGACTATTTGCTATGTGGTCGTATAGAGTTATGAGAGGTAATTTGACACTTGGAATGTGTAATAATATTGCTAAATTCTTTGATTAGAACTGGTTGTCCGCTTTGATTTTAACAATATAACTTCTAATAATGCAGGCTGAGACACTTGCTAATCACATAAAGTTCGATCATGGATGTATTGCAAAGAGCCCTGCAATCTTAAATGCATGTTTCTTTCATAAGATTCTCATTTGAGTATTTTGAAATATATATTTGATCCATAATTATGTTTAGTTTTAAAATTTCATAGTTACATGAAATTATAGGAGAATTTACACCAAAGTAGCAACAGGTCTTTTGCAAAATTGTTACTAGTGCTTCGAGACTTCCATGTGGCAGTCTAGCAATGTTGAATCCAAAGTTGACAATTGTTAGAAAGGTAACTCGAGTTGCATTGAAAAAGCTTCTATCAATGTTTTATGTTTATTTAATAATTAATTCATTTTTATAAATATACTTTTAATGAGATAAGTTTTTTTTTTGTTACATTAGTAGACCTAAGTTTTAGTACAAGCAAAGAAAGAATGGGAGGTCTGATTCGAAATCAAATCCTTATTGTCTTCTCGTACTCTTTTAATTATTAAGTTAAAAGCTTAGATATGAGACAAGTTTCAATCAATATATAAATATATTGTATTTGTGAACTTGAATTAAAAAAAATAAAAGAAATACATATGTTTCGCATCCCATAAAAAAAATTGTATTTTCTACTTAGAGCTGATATAAATTCAACCCAAAACCAAAAACATTTGATTTGGTATTCTTATCATATGTGCTTTAAGAAGCCAAAGTATAATTCTTTTTATTTGTAGTATTGATAATCTGCTGTCCATGCTTGGAAATGAATCAATTTCTTTTAGCTATGATATGCGGTCAGCTAACCCTATTGTATTTATATCCAGTGAACAAACTAATCCGAGTATACCAAAAATTGAACAAGTCAAAGGAAAGCGAAAGTAGAACTTGCATTTTAGGATTGACTCTTAAGTTTTATCTTAATTTTATTATTATATTATCGGGAGATCCACACCAATTACTATGCTGTAACTCGGACATTTTCTATTATCCTTTGTTTATTTTTAAAATTATTTTAAACCTTATCTATTATTTTTTTTTGAACCATTTTAAAACTTTTACTTTAAATTACTACATTTCTTACATTTTTTTCATGACAAATAAATTTCTTTCCTTACTAAAATAAACTTGTAATATTGCGCGGGCCTACGCACTAATAATACTAATAATAAAGATCAAACTTTGAAATTAGAGTTATTCACGGATCAAGCTTTATATATAAGAGTTTTGGAGTCAAGGCTTAGTTTGGTTTGAAATGTTATTTTATTAATTAAATTTATTTTTAATTAATTTTAATTTTAAGATATATTTAAATATTAAAATTTTAATAATTTTTTAATATTTAATATATATTTAAAAAATTTTGAGTATCTAAACCTGATGGAGAGGTTTTTTGAATGATCAATCGAAACTCAACTTATGAATAGATTTATTCAAAATTAATAAATCTCGTTAAATTGATCACTAATTCAATGAATAATACATATATATAATTTAAAAATTTTATAAAAAATGTTAATGATAATAATCCTATAACAAATCATGGCTATGATTTTCTTTATTCAACAAGGAAATTGAAATGGCTTGGAGGGACCATTACTTGGAAACAGTTGAGCAATCATCTTTATGATCAAAAACTTTACTTAAGCTTTCTTTTTTTGGCTATAATGGGGCTTAGACAAGTAGAACATTGGCGAAAATTCAAAGCACTATTTTGATAAAAAAAAAAAAAAAACAAATTTATTGTAATGGGTCCATTGGATTTGTTCATGCTTAATCATTTTTAGTGATGTGACATCTGTGCATGGATAGACAAAAAATAATTATTATATTATTAATTAATTGGAGAGAGAAAAAAATGGGTATTTTGAATATTTCATGCCAGAGAAATAGAATGTTTAAAGGTAATATGAGATGAGACATATTAAAATAACATAAAGTGTTAGAGATAAAGATAAAAATAAATAGTACAATGAATTCATGAATAAGATGATTTGGATTTTTTTTATTTTTATTAGTTTATTTTGTTATTATATAATTAAATTCAAAATTAATAGGTATTTAAATTTTATAAAATTGGCAAAATTATTTTTTGAATTAACATGTATTAATATAAATAATTAAAGAAAAATTTTTTATTAATGGATTTAAAAAATTGACTCAACCATAAATATATATTTTTATTTTTTATTCATTTTTTGTACATGAAAAAAACATTTTTTAATTTCACAAACTAAATTAAATAGCTGTCATATGTTTCATATTTTTAATTATTATTTTTTACATACTAAATCTGTTTTTTTATTTAAAAAATTAAGTTTAAAATTTTTCTTCAAATAATAATATTTTTACTTTTATTTTTCAGTTCACGTAAGGGAGCTATAGTTACAATCAAAAACCCCGAAAACAAGGCACTCATTAAATGAGAGCATTACACGTGGGCCGTCATTCCTTTTAAAAATTTAACCGCTTCGTAACTTTGTCTTAATAGTTTTCATTTTTTAAAATTTAAATCATTAATAAAAAAGAAGAATATAAAAATTATCTAAAATGAATTTATTTTCCAAAGAACATTATTGCATGCAATTAAAAAAAGAAAAAATCACAGTTTGGGGGAAGACGTGGAAGCCTCTTCTCTTCCCCCAACTGTCAATTTCTTGGGGGTAAAATTATTTTGATTAAAAAAAATTTACAATCCAAAATTTAATTTGACTACAAATTACATAATTATTTATTATTCTATATAAACTAGAATGAATTAGACTTTTTTTTTTTTTAAATTTTCTGGAACTATATTCGTTGAACCGTTCGTCTCTTGATTCTCTTTCAGCTTTCAGGGCAAATACAGATCGAGGCTCTGGTGAGCTAGGTTTTTTGGTAGAATTAAGAGTTTCAAGCAATTGAATTGGTGGGTTTTTCTTAAATTTCGATGATTTTGCTTTCATTTCTTGCTATTACTATATATATTTTTGAAATATAAAATGTTTGATGAACCTTAAATCCTGCTAATTCTACCTTGAATATGAGAAGGGCATTATGGTTGAAATTTAGTTGATTTTGTGTTGTTTGCAGTTTGACCGTTATGATTGATGAGTAAATTGCCGAATTTTGTTTATGTTTTTCAATTTTTGGTATAGTATTTCTGGTTGATTTTTTTTGGTGTTGAATTTGGATTTTCAGAAAAAGTGTTTGTTTGAATTCCCATTGAAAAAAATGGGGGTAATGTCAAGACGGGTTGTGCCTGCCTGCGGTAACCTCTGTTTCTTTTGCCCTTCAATGCGTGCAAGGTCAAGGCAGCCTGTTAAAAGATACAAGAAGTTGCTATCGGACATTTTCCCCCGTAATCAGGTATTGTTTCAGCTCATCTTCTGTTACTTTTTATTGAATTTTGGGATTTTCAAATAGTTTTTTTGTTAATTTTTGGTTCTTCGAGTGAAAATTGCCGTTGGATATTAGTCTAGCTTGTTCATTGCGTTGTGCTTAATGATTGATGATCAGTAGTATTAAATTTAGTTAATTGTAGTATGATTATGATATTGTCTATTTGTATCTTGTGGTGAAAAACATGTAATTGATATTTGATGATGAAGGTTTACACAAGTATAATTTGTCTGTAAGATCTCTCACAGCTGCTGCTGCTATTTTGGTTTGGCTGCATAAATTTCTAATGCTGAACCTAACGATAGGAAAATTGGGAAGCTTTGTGAATATGTTTCAAGGAACCCATTATGAATGCCAAAGGAATGGCTTTTCTTTTGGTTCACTTATTCTTGGTAGAGTTTGATTCTATTATGGAATTTCTAAAATTTTAATTTTTTCTGTTTGCAATGTTGGTTTCCACCATTTTGTTGGGAAGTTCTTATCTCTGTTTTCAATTTTTTTTTTTTCTGTTCACAATGTTGGTTTCCACAATTTTTGTTGGAAAGTGCTTATAACTGTTAATTTAAATGAAAACACAAAACTTGTAAGTGAGAATGTAGCTAACTCTTTTCTATTATTTTGGTTTCTATTTAGTTTAGGATATAAATCTTGCTTTTAAGGTGATTATGTTATGTTGGTTAAAATTGAAGTGGTTTAGAAAATTTTTTCTGAAATGTAGGTAAATTTTGTCAAGAAATGTTCCAAACTGATTGAAACTTTGGAATGGTATTAATCTTGGCACAATTCAAATTAATAGAAATATCCTTGAGATGTTTGAAATTAGTTTGAAATTTACTATATCCTGTAATATATATAACTTTACTGAATTGCCTGTTGATTTGTTTTCTCACATCTTTAAATAATTTGTCTGCACAGATTACAAGTAACCTAGAGCAAAGATGCTTCAAGGATTTACGGAATGAGAACTTTGGATGTGTGAAAGTCGTATTGTGCATTTATCGGAAAATGCTATCATCATGTAAGGAGCAGATGTAAGTTTGATGTGTTGAAATTTAAACATTTAATTGATCTAAACATTTTATGGCATCAATTTTTCGGCCAAGTTTCATTTTGGGGTGAGCAGCTAGGACAGGGGGAGTTTCAAAGAATGAACCACTGAATTTAGATAACAAAATGTAAAGCAGAGCATAATATTTGGCTTGTTATTGTCACGTAATTGCTGAAGAGGCTTGTGTTGGGTGACCAAATCCTAGCGGGGGTTAAAATTACAAGATAGCTACCTATTAATTTATAATCTATATATTAACTTTCTTTGTTATCATTTAACGTTTCGCCTTGTGTTTGGTTTCATGGAAGGAATACCCAATTAGTTAACGGTGTTATTCTTCAAAGTTAACCATATTTTTGCATAAAAAATAAAACTTGGTTTATGATGTGAGACAAGATCATGTTTTTTGAAGGATTAAATTATTTAGAAAATTATTCTAGTAATTTTATCTATTTTCATGGGTTCAATTTTCAGTTTTAGCATTTAGGGATTTAATAGGGGATTTAGGGTTATATTAATTGTTTCATATTTATTCTAGTTTAGCAGGTAGCCTTTAAGTGTAAATGTGATTTAAGCATCCATATTTTTTATATGTGACATTCATGGGAGCACTTTATTCTTGCAGGCCACTTTTTGCTAGTAGTTTATTAGGGATCATTTGGACTCTTTTGGAACAAACCCAACAGGATGAGATGCGAATTATGGGTTGCAATGCTCTTGTAGAGTTCATTAATAGTCAGGTGTGTAGTAGTACGGATATGCCAGTAGTACGTATATGTGTGTCACTGGGTACAGCTGTTAAGTAGCCCTTTGAACTTTAAGCATTCCATGACTGGGCTTTTAAATTTTTGAAGTAGACGTTGAAGGAGCTCTTCACATATCTGACACTGGACTGAGACCTGCGGATTCACTTGTAGGCTTTAGATAACAAACAGACTATGTACAGAATACTTTACATATTAGCTGTAAACTAGAGAGCGTTTTCTAATTGTATGGGATTTGAAACTAGATGGACGGTACACAAATGTTTCACTTAGAGGGCCTTATTCCTAAACTATGTCAACTGGCTCAAGAAGATGGAGATGATGACAGAGCTTTGCGTTTGCGTTCTGCTGGATTGCAAGTGCTGGCTTCCATGGTGCTGTTCACTCTCTAATCTTGAAAATTTTCACATAAGAAACTCTTTTGCACAGAACAATACATGCACTGACATTAGCTCAAGCTAAAATTTATAAGTATTCATAACTTTTCTTCCTTAGGAACATACACGAATATGTGAACTCTTACTTTTTTTTCGTCTTTTTTACCTATTATCTTTTGTATCTAATACTTGTTGGAGTTGTGTGCATGTCTTTTCAGTCTTTTCCTTCTTTGCAATTTTTCTACTCTAGCTGATTTAGACTTGTTTCCAGTGAATTTACTGGTTTAGTTACCGGCAATGACAACTGTCTACCAGTTTATAAAAGCATGGGCTTAGTAAGATTTTGATGCAGCTGGTTGATTTACATATTTTCAAGTAGCTTCTGCTTCTTCTACCTTTGTGCAACTATCTAAATCCTCTGTTAGAAGATGTCCTTTAAAATGAGAGGCTGACTTTCTGCATATGTTTTAATGGGTAGGGGCTTTGATTTTGTGGTTTGTGTTCTATAACACTAGGTTAAAGTTGAGCTTAGATTAGTTAGAAGTTTAAACGATTGAATTTTTAGATTGATCTTTCTAGATTTGAAAGAAATCACTTCTATAATTTTGTGGACTCGGGGAATATTGTGGTTTTGGTACTAAATTGATGGAGAAAGTCTAAAATTCATTACCAAAGGGTGATCAGGTTTGTTCAGGTTGAACTTACAGCTTTAATTAACATGTGAATAGCCTTATGTCCTAATATGTTGAGTTGACATACAAGTCTTTACAAGTTCAGATATATAGGAGAATAATCCTGAATTTTTCTTGTTGAGTTTTTCTTTCATTAATATTGTTTCATTTGCTCTACTTCTTTTGTCATTTAGTATTTTTTACTCGTATTTGTTTTCTTTTGCTTCTATTTCTGGTCACTTATTACTTTCTCATTTCTTTTGCCTAGGTCTGCTTCATGGGTGAGCACTCTCATATATCGATGGACTTTGATAGTGTAAGTTATCATCTTTTATAGTGGCTTTTCCTATCAATGCTATTTTATATTCAAAGTTTGATGCCATTCCTGATCTGATACAATTTAACTGTGCAAATATAACTAAGTATATTTTAGTCCTAGCTGTAGTTCATTAAAAATATGGAAATAATTAAGATTCTCTTTGGTCTAGCTGGAGCTTCATTAAAAAGATTGAAATACAGTTTTGAAATGGTTACAAATAACTAAGTGTATTTTTGTCCATCCCAAATTTGGATTAATCTCTCTATTGGTTTCTCTCAGTTCACCTCCTCTCAGAAGCTTCATTTTTGGAGTTTCAGCTTTTAGCCTCTTGAATCTCCTTTTAAATATTGGAAACAAAAACACACACCAGACAAAGAGATATGCAGTAGGTACTGGCTTTTTTGTTCATCTTGAATTCGATTTTCATCTTGCATAGATCATATCAGTGACCTTGGAGAACTACATGGATATCCCAATGACCCTTCTCAATGGCAGTAAAGTGGATGAAAATGGTTCGTCCTTCCCAGATGTCAATGAGAAGGCTTCCTCTGTACCTAACCTTGTGATTGACTCTGACTTCGATCCAACCATGTAAGGCTTCATTTCAGTAAATCTCTTGCTGCATTAAATTCATTAGGATATATTTCATGTTCAAATCTCATCCTTTGCTTCATTTGGCTCTTTAATAGGGATACTTCCAATAGTCCCTCTTACTGGTCAAGGGTTATCTTATGTAATATTGCCAGATTGCCAAAAGAAGCAACAACTATCCGGCGTGTTCTTGAACCTCTTTTCACAATTTTGATGCTCCCAAGAGAAGGGAGTCGCTTTTTCTGTTCTAATTTACTTGCAGTTGCTAATGGAAGAAACAGGTTACTTTGGGAGTTTTAATATGCATCCTTGGTAAATATATACTTTTTCTGACAACTCTTTAGTTGACATAATGGTATTTATTTTTTAATGCCAGGAGAGAAGTCCCACCTACCATTTGCTATCTTGGTGAAGCACATGGAGCATAAGAATGTAGCCAAGCAACCTCAAATACAAGTTAACATTCTCAATGTCATTACTCAACTTGCACAAAATGCAAAGCTTCAGCCCTCCGTAGCAATCATTGGTACAATAACTGACTTGATGAAGCATCTACGAAAATGCCTACAAAATTCAGTTGAATTATCTAGTTCTGTGGGTGATATGGATAAATATAACACTGATCTTCAGTTGGGATTAGACAAGTGTATCTCACAGCTCTCAAGGAAGGTTGGGAATATGTTCTTGTACACATCCAATTTTAGCTTTCTGATTATTTTAAGATACTAACAGAAGCTAGTTTTTCTTGTTATTTAAATATATATATATTTTTTTTCCATTTAGTTGATTTTTTTTCTGCATGCATTTAACAGGTTGGGATGTGGGACCAATTCTTGATATGATGGCCGTGGTACTAGAGAATATTTTGAGCAACAGTATTGTTGCCAGAACAACAATCTCTGCTGTTCATCGAACAGCAGAGATTATCTCTTCTATCCCAAACGTATCATATCACAAGAAGGCAAGTGTTCTTGTGTAACATACTGTTATATTTGTACTTATCTTGTATTTGCATCTAAGTTCTGACATTACAATCTGTTCAGGCCTTCCCTGATGCTCTATTTCACCAGTTGCTCCTTGCAATGGCCCACCCAAACCATGAAACTCGAGTTGGAGCACATAGCATTTTCTCCATTGTGCTTATGCCATCCTTGCTTTCACCTTGGTCAGATCAAAATAAAAGAAATTCTGAAGCTGTTTCTTGTGACTTAACAGTTAGTGCATCCAAGAAGGTAAGGAGTTACAGCTTTGCCTTTCAGGATGATGGTAAAGACCAAGCAGAACTCATTGAAGGAAGACTAAAAGAAAATGGAAATCAAGCGTTAGATATGGCTGTGAAAGAATCAATAATGTGTCAGTCCCATGGGAACTCATATAGCTTCAAGCATGCTCTGGGTGATGGAAAAATGGTGTGAAACTGCTGTCTCTCTGTTGCTTAGTGTTATTATCAATTCAGATACTATTGAGTTTTCTTATGTGTCTGAAACTTTCAGCAGTTCACTTCCCTTCGATTAAGTAGCCATCAAGTGAGTCTTCTTCTTTCATCAATATGGGTCCAGGCGATTTCTGCTGAAAATACCTCTGCAAAATTTGAAGCTATGGCCCATTCGTTTTACATTGCAGTATTGTTTACCCGATCCAAGGTTAGTCATAATTTTAAACTGCCTATATTCCAAAATATTAATCTTCTTTATCAATTCACAAGGTTCAAAAATATGGTTGGTTTTAATGATATTACCTTACTCTTGATGATTGATTTTGATTTGTTTTTGGAGATGATGTATGATACAGCAAAAGGGTAGAATATGAAATTGGAAAATGATTATTACTTTTGGTAATGAACAAACATTTTGGAACAACCCAAAATAGAAGAAAGGACAACTTCTTTATTTATTTATTTTACAGTGAGAGTATCTGCTACTGCTGATTGTTCTTAATTTGATATTGTAAATGTCCTTTTCAAACATTATAGAAGTTCTTAGTCCTCACCATTGATGCTTTCCATGAACGTAGAAAAGCAACAAAGAAAACTAATGATTCTCCCTTCAATTCATTGTCTCTTTCTACTTGTTAGCTCCATCACCATTATCTAGAAAACTCAAAGTGAGATAGCAATGGTCAAGCTTGCTGTTGCAAGCATCCAAGTTAGGTTTATCATTTGATATTCAACTTCTTTTTGCTGTGAGGTGTGGCATGGGCCAACAGTTGGGTTGTGATACTATCTGAATATTACCTTGAGTTGCTCAGAGGGATGTCCCAGATCTTCTGCTAAAGAAGATTCCTTCTATCTTTAGTATTTTGTCTATGGAAATTTGTGATATTATCTTTAATGCTATTAGAGTTTCTCTCTTTCCATTTTGGTAGCTATTCCTGAACCGGTCTGTTAATAAATTATGCTGATGACAGACCTCCAGTCATAAGGCCCTAATTCGGAGTTTTCAGCCGGCATTCTCCCTTAGGAGCATCTCTCTGGATCAAGAAGGTATGTCACATCTATCATTATTGGTATTTATGTTTTTTATAGAGTGAAAGAGCACAATGTTATACGTATACATGCAGTAGGATTATGCTTTCTGTCCATTTTGCCAATTGGAAGCCTCACTTAGTGGACTATTCCATACACTTCTATTATCTGATTTATCTTTTGTTGATTTTTCTTAAAGATGTTACTTTAATTTGCTCACAGGCATCTCAAGAAGCAAATGGAAAGGAAACTCTGGCTTAGCAAAGTTTTTTCTTTTTGTTTTCCTAGATATTTACTAAGTAATATAGATTAATGGTTTATGGTGCTATCACTATGCATTCACGAACTTGCATACTCATGCCAAAGAATATTCCTTATACATCCCTGACCTTATACCCTGCTGATTTTGTCTCACAAATGCTCTCTTAATGTTTCTGACAATCAAGAAAAATGAAATAGAAGCTCAGGTTTATCAAATATGATTCCTTTTCTTGCCCTCCTTTTTTATTGAGGAAATCATATCTATACCAATATTTAATGCAACTGGCTCAGATGGTATCACACCAACTTGTCTCCTTTAAAAAATTTAATATGTGTTGGTCTTCTAGATTTTTACTGAATTCAAACTTCATTTTCTTATTCTTTCTCCCTTATTTCATCAAACATCATACCAGGTCGTGTAACATTTAAATAACTTTACTACCTTTGTTTTCTCAGATAATTTTTTTAATACTTATTTTAAATAGTAAAAAATGATTGCCACATGCTTTTATCCACATGCCTAGTGGGTGCACAAAGGACTAGTTGATTGTTTATGTAAGATCATGCACATAATAATAAAGATGATAGCATCAAAAGATGGTTTGCACTGAATAACCTTTTTTTGTCAGTGGTAAGGGAAAAAGAATAGTCTTAAAAAATGTGATTTATCCTTAGGAAGTGGTACTTGTTCAAGTTTTGTAGGTTTGTTACATATGTTGAAAAATTCTCCTGACATTTGTGTCCCACATGCACGTTGAAGGAGGTTTGCAACCATCTCGAAGAAGGTCTCTCTTTACCTTGGCATCCTACATGCTTATTTTCTCAGCCAGGGCAGGCAATCTTCCAGAGTTGATTCCTATTGTTAAAACATCTCTGACAGATAAAACAGTCAGTTTATCATCCTTAATCTATAGGAGAGAATCATTTATATTGTTACTGCACTTTGTTTTCTGATTCTACAGGCTGATACTTGAGTTTATCATCCTTCACTAGGTTGATCCTTATCTCAAATTAGTTGAGGATGTCGGACTTGAGGCTGTTTGTGTGAAATCCGATCTGGGCAGCGTAGCATATGGATCAAAGGAAGATGATATTGCTGCGTCAAAATCTCTCTTGGCAATAGAGCTAGATGATCTTCATTTGAAGGAGACGGTCATATCCCATTTCATGACTAAATTTGAGAAATTGTCGGAGTCGGAGGTGATATATCAGTTTCTGATTGTTAGTCTTTTATTTTGAGGCTGATAGTGTTCGAGCTTCCCTAGCTCTATTGACTGTGATAACTATTTCTAATTGGAGATTATAAACAGTTACACCATCATAGGTTGAGTGAAGGGTGGTTCCTTTGGTTTTGATTACGTTATCAGTTACATTGATGTAGACTTTTTTTTTTTCTTCTTGAAGTGAGGACAGTGTTGAACGAAGGTTCTTTTGACTAGGTAATTAAGGATTCTTCATTTAATGAACATTTTATGTGAAAGATTTTGTCTGTGAGCAGCTTCTGTTGTTAACTAATAGGAACAAGTATCACAAAACAGAATGTATTTAGGAGTAATTTTACTTTGAATGGTGGCAGCTACTGCTTTCAATGAAATATAATAAGAAAGGGTTTCAAGACAAGAAAAGAGCCAGGTGAAATGAGGGAATCTAATCTTAACTTGCAAATTGCTTGTTATCAGTGAATTGTTGCCCCCCATCCTGTTCAGGTGTGTGACTTGTAAAGGGTAACAATGACGTTAACTATCAGTGCTCTTGGATAGCTATGGTAAGATTAGTTGTGGCATGTTATTAAGTTGTTCCATGTTTCATGTGAAAGGAATTAATGGTATTTATGGGAACTTGTTTGCAAACAATTCATCTCATCCCTTTGTGTGCTTCTTCCAGGATGAACTATCAAGTATAAAGAAACAACTTCTTGAGGGCTTTTCACCAGATGATGCATATCCATTAGGTGCTCCATTGTTTATGGAGACACCAAGACCATGTTCTCCTCTTGTGCAGATGGAGTTTCAGGCATTTGAAGAGGTAGATCTTGTTTGGATTACATTCTCTCCTTCAACACTATGATATTGTTTGGTTGATTTGATGCTTTTCTTTCAGATTATGCCTCTAGCTGCAATGACAGATGAAGAAGCCTTCCCTGAAGCCAACGGAAGTCAATCAGATCGCAAAACATCATTATCCATCAGTACACTAGATGTCTTAAGTGTCAATGAGCTTTTGGATCCGGTAAGATGGGAAGTTCTATTTATTAATATATTTTTATTATTTTTCGATTTTTATTATAATTTCTCAATGAATTTGGAAACAAAATAAACTACAAAAAAGGACGATATGTTTTTATTTAACTCCATTGCTCATCATTTGGATGTTTTGTGCTGTTTGTGCTTTTGATCGTTCATCTTGTTTTTTGAGAGGGTGCAGTAATCATTTTGGACATTTTGGGAGGGTACAAGAAAATAGGTTTGGGAGTCACATTATGAATATGTTACATTGTGATTGTACCTTATTTTGAGTTCTAAAAAGGTATGGTGTTGGCATAGAAATATAAGTTGCAAAAGAGTCGGCTCTTGAAGCATTATACTCATGAGTCGGTGTTATTTTGGGTAGAGAAGAAAGCCTACTAAATTAAACAGTGAAGGGTTCTTATCTTTGGCGAAAGATTCTAAATTTTTAGGTAAAGCCTACTAAATTAAACCATGAAGGGTTCTTATCTTTGGCCTAAGATTCTAAATTTTGTAGGCATTTCTCAGCCATCTAGTATATATTCTCAGGCTTCGCCATGTGGAAGTTGTTGATGTAAGTGGTAAATTAGAGAACTATGAAATAGTTGAGATTTTAGATTTTTTCCTAATACATGACTAGAATGGAGATGGAACATTTTATGGGTAGAGTTGCAGTACAGAAAAAAATGCTGCTATCATTATTAACTTACAAAAATAACTAATGAAAACCAAATTGAAACTATTATGTAGGCGGCTGAAAACATAAATGTCAGATGAGTTGGCATTGCACCAACTTGTTAACTATTTTTTAAATATATATTAGTGATTTAAAATTTCATCTAACTCGGTAATTCTCCCTCCCAATATTATTTCGTCTGCTTTCTCTTTAAAAGGTTGTGCAGTAAGAAACTGACTTCGTTTCTATTTAACTCTCCTCTCATTTAACATCAAATTGGTTAGGTTGAAATACAAAAACTATCCAACAATAATACAGTTATTTTTATCGTACTGGTATGATGGAGATGCTGATAAAACAAGAACATTTGAAAAAACTGATAAAAAGTTGAGGTGAAATATATTTCCAATGATATGTATAAAAGTTACGAAGATATTTTTGAAGCATTCCCCTTGATTGCTATAGAGTATTTTTTGAGTCCCTAAAGTATCTTCGCCATCGAGAGACCTGCCTTTCTTCATCTGAGCAGTTCTTATAATCTATAAAATATTAGATGGGTACAGACCACTTTCTGATTGTGGGATTGCGAGGGTAATTTAACAATTGAATTAATATTTGATACATTATCAATATAAAATTTTAATTACACAAATGGGATTAAGAAGAGGACGCAAGTTCCATTATCTTTTTTTTTTTTATAATTAGATTTTTATTTTTTAAATATACCTGTGGGACATGTGTTACCTTTTTAATCTTGCTTTTGTAATTAAAATTTACACTGACAGTATATCAAATATTAACTCTTTAACAATTACATCTTTGGAAAAGTAATGACTTTTGTTACATGATGGTGCAGTTTTGGTGTCTTTGTTTCGTTGTAAATGTATTGAACTTTTGCTTTTGCTTTAGAATCTTGTCAGACCACTTCCTTTTCCCTCGCCTTGAAGACTGTATGAAAAAGCAGAGCGCATGTATATATATACATACATTCTTATCTACTTGTATTAGATAGTGCATGGTAGACAAGATGATATAACATATAAACTTTAATTCATATCTCCACGAACTGATGAATGGAGTTGAGCTAGATCAAATGGGTTTGGTTCTTCAATGTTAATTTATGCGTCTTTGTACCTTTGTCATGCAATATATTTTACCACCCTAATTCTATGTGGTTGGGGACTTGAGATTTTTTTATCAAAATTGAACAAAATATAAACTCATGAATACACTCCCTCCTCCTGTGTGACGTTTAAGAATGCAGATGAGATAGTCTTGAATTAGATTATTGATATTAAGTTTGAGAAATTGCAGAAGTTAACAAGAGTAAGAATGGTCATTCCTATTTAGGTAATTGAACTTGGAAGGAAATAGAAAAGGAGAAAAGAGTATGCATGCTGTTTTGGCAAGTGTATTTACTGCTCAGATCATCATTCAAAAACCAAACACGATACTACTAGGGGGTTGGCGTGATATGATTAGATTTAGATTGAACACTTGAAGTTAGAAGAGAGAAAGCTATTTAATCCATTTTTTTGAAGAACCATTTGAACGATTTCTGGCCATTGGGTCCAGAGAAACTAATCTTCACATTCTTCATACATTAACCCCACTATATCTCCAGAGATTCATCTACCTTTCATTTTCTTACAAATTATATCGATTTTTTAATGTGAATAGGTTCTGGAAACAGCCCGTCAAGTTGCAAGCTTTTCAGTTTCCCCAACCCCCATTCCTTATGACCAAATGAAGAGTCAGTGTGAAGCTCTTGTAATGGGTAAACAGCAGAAGATGTCAGTGCTTCATAGCTTCAAGCATCAACAGGAAGACAAGGATACCTCGGAGGAAAGTGAATAGGTTCTGGAAACAGCCCGTCAAGTTGCAAGCTTTTCAGTTTCCCCAACCCCCATTCCTTATGACCAAATGAAGAGTCAGTGTGAAGCTCT